TTTTTATCTTGATGAAGTCCCAAAAGTTCATTTTTGCTTTTGTTTCACTAGCTTTTGGAGATGTATCTTGAAAGAAGTTGCTGTGGCCGATGTCAAAGAGGTTACTGCCTATGTTCTCCTCTAGGATTTTGATGGATTCCTGTCTCACATTGAGGTCTTTCATCCATTTTGAGTTTATCTTTGTGTTTGGTGGTAGAGAATGGTCAAGTTCTTACACGCATTTTGCATTAGAGTGGCCTTTCAACGCAACTTGAGTTAGTATCCACTTAATAATCATCACTTTCTTCCCGTTTATCTACTGACTGGAGACAATGAAGAGGTTGTTTATTTTTATCCATAAAAATAGGGTTTAGCCAAATCTGAGATGAATGGTCGCTGGTGAAGCATATTGAAATTTCAACTTTTCTAATAAGTCAAAGGGGAGGCTTGCTTGGGATTCAAATTATTTGTGAGGCAAACTGTTTTTCCTGACAATAAACTCATCATCACACAAGAATAAAGATTACTTGTTAAAGCAAGCTGTTATTTTGTTAGATTAGAAAGAAATGGTGTCGTACAAGGATATCTGCAACAGCACAGTGATAGGGAGGCCAGTGTCCTCAGATGAGTAAACCCAGACAGCCACAGGGTATCTCGTACAGCTCACCGGGGCATCCTTCAGCGGAATTACTAGAGCGTATGCCCAGGGAGAAAGGAGGACAGATAACTGCAGGGATTTGGCTTAGAGCAAGAGAAAACTTTACTCATCATTAGTGTTGGTCCAATGCATTTATTCTATTTCATTACCTCGAAATAACATAACCCAATTTAAAGGACCATGTCCACCATGGCTGACATTATAATTTAAGGCTCTTTATTTAGAAGCACTGCATTTGGAAGTTGGAATTCAAATATTTTATGATTATTCTTTTTGATCAAGTATTTTCTTATTTTTTTAATTTAAATTTAATTAGTCAACATATTATCATTAGTTTTAGAGGTAGTGTTCAATGATTCATCAGTTGCGTATAACACCCAGTGCTCATCACGTCACATAGTTTTTTAAATATAATAATATACAGGTTGGGATACCTTTCCTTTGAAATCCCTCAGTATCTTGATGAAATTCTTATGAAATGGGTAATCGATGACAACTATCACAGAATATTATACTCATGTGCCTCTGAAAGCAGCTCTGGTATCAAAGCCATGGACATAGTGTTTTCTAGAAAATTATTATGTTAATGCTATTCTACAAGTAAAGTATAAAGTAGTCTATACTGTTCGTGATAAATGTGGTGCTAATCTTACAAAAAGGCATTTTCTCATCCATTTCGGCACCAACGACAGCAGTGACTTTCATGTGGGAAGAGCTTCAGCATGCACAAAGCAAACACTTTACATTGTCTCTTAATCTTGGTAACAACACGGAATTGACTTCCCTACTGTAATGTCAGATGAAGAAAGAGGCCCGAGAAGATTGCAACTCATCTTGCATTACAAAACTAGCTGGTAGATGACATAAGATTCTAACCCAGTGATTTTTTTTTTCATATATTTTCTCTCTCCAATATCTATGGTAAAAATCAAGTTGTAGTGAAAGATAGGAAGGAGGACCTATCTGTCTGTCTACCTACAGTAAACTTTTTTTCTCCCATAGAAGTCATGGATATCTCTGCACATCAATACACAGTCTTCACTTCTTTAATAAAATATGCTGAATTAAATTTAGCTTCCTATTTAATGTGACACGTGGCGTAAAACTATTTACTTAAGCAACTCTCTCATGATAGGTGTGGGAGATGCACGAAGAACAATTTTCACACTCGTCTGGTTGAAATCTCCAAAGGCAGACGCGCTGGGTGAAAGGTGTTGTCAAATCGCCCTATCTACTCAGACACCCCCCAAAATGGAGCACCCCGGTGGCCATTTATACTGTTCCCCAGAATAACTGCTTGAAAAATTTGACATTCTAGTAATTAAAAATGGAAAAAGCTTTGTTACCATAATATGCATTTTTTGAAATTAAAGATTTTTTCGTAGCTTTTGGCCACTCCTAATTCCTCTGATAATTTTCTTAGGACAATGTTGTTGGCTTGATTCTTTAATTGAATTTCATCTTTGTTTTGTTTTCCCCATATTTTTAGTATCTCTTTCTAGGTTAAGGATATTAATTCCATATCTGGCATACAGATTGCATGTTTCCAGCTTTGCATTTGTCAGTTCTGCTATTCATAGCATTTATTTTTTCTTCCATTGTAAAATCTGTTCATCCCTCCCATTATTTCTGTTTATGTTCCTTCCCGTTACTTTTCAGCACAATCATTTGAAGGCCAAATTGACATTTGATTTTTTTTCAATGTTTTATTTATTTATTCATGAGAGTCAGAGAGAGAGAGAGAGAGAGAGGCAGAGTCAGAGGGAGAAGCAGGCTCCCCGCCTAGCAGGGAGCCCGATGCAGGACTCGATCCCAGGACCCTGGGATCATGACCTGAGCTGAATGCAGACGCTTAACCATCTGAGCCACCCAGGCGCCCCTGACATTTGATTTCAACACATAACATAAGAGCAGTTACCTTGCCTCTCGAGCTTGAATTTTCCAAAGTCTTTTCCATGAATATCACCTTGAAAAGTAAATCCTCCTCTTTCGAGTCCTGATGACACCTGATACACATGAAAAGGAAGAAAACAATGCATAGCGAGGATTAATAATAATCTCTTCGATCATACTATAACTGTATTTCTCACAGCTAGATATTACAGGTTAAATATTTTTTGGTTTTTGTCCTTCCTTCCAGTGACACATTAGCAGTTAAAAAGTGGGAAAAGACACGTGAATTTCAACTCACGTCTACATTCTCAATATCTCATTTTCACCTTGAAATACTGAAATTTACAACATATCCATAGGCTAACCATCCTTTGTAAAGGGGACAGTTATATGAATTACTATATAGCCTACATTATGTCAAAATCACTTTGTGACACAGCTCTTGGCTGGCGAATATCATGTGAGGCCGTATACTTTTATGTCAGATAATGAATTAGAACACATATGATGGTTGCCTGGCAAAGAGGGATCTCAGTGAGACATCTGAAATCTCTGTATCTGGAAATGATGTTTTTTTAGAACTTTTAGAGTGGTTACCCAATGGCTGTGTTTGGATTTCTGGTACAATGTGGTGCTAAGCACAGAATGTGGATCTAAGCTCATGTTCTGTCCCCAGCTGTAACTACTCATTTATTTGTCATTTCAGAAACTAGGTTTCTTCCTTCTTAAAATGAAGGGGTAAAAGGACCATGCTGTTTGCGAAGCAGAGGGAACGGTGCATTTTCTTTTTTTTTTTTTTAAAGATTTTATTTATTTATTTGACAGAGAGAGACACAGCGAGAGAGGGAACACAAGCAGGGGGAGTGGGAGAG